CAGTCGAGGAAGAAAAATCTATTTCTCCACTGTGGAGAAAAAATAATTCTATTTCTCCACCAGAAGCTAATATGGCAACAAAGGTTTCACATTGGCGATCATTCATCCATTGACAATTGCTGGGTATACTGGCGGGCGTGTTTTTGCAAGGTCTATTTTGGCAAATAGCATAGCAAGACTGAACAGTACGGGGGATATGTTTGTGGGACTTCCAGAAACATGAGAAGCCACCAAAACGATGAGAAGCCACCAAAACAAGAACTACCTCACATTGCAAAGCGAGTAATTTTTGTTCGGAACGAGTAATTTTTATTTGGAACGAGTAATGACAAATGTCAACCTTCAAGCCAACTGGCACTATGCTAGTGAAGATGAAGATTTGCCTGATCTTGCTACCAAAGCAGATCGAGGTCTGCAGTTTATTCAAAGCTGCAGAAAGCAAAGAGATCCATTTGGGTTGTACGATCATGTCATCATGGACAGTGGTTGTACAAACACCACCATTTGTAATGGTGAGCCCATGCATGGACTACATCATGCTGAGAAAGAACTTGATATGCACACTAACGTGGGCAGCAGAGTTCTTGACAAAGAAGGTTTTCTAGGAAGATTTCCACCTCCAGTTTATCACAATGAAGATGGAATTGCCAATGTACTTGCTATGCGCGATATGATTGCTGCGGGATACCGCATTACTATGTATACTGATGCTGACAATGCTTTTATTGTGCATTGTGATGGAAACAGAAAGATGCAATTTGTGAATCGTAAGGGTGTGTATGTGATGGAGCAACTTGGAGCGAATGTGTGTGTGTGTGCGAAATATATACATCGGAAAAGAAAATCAGTTGATATTTAAGGGACCATGCCCCAAAATCAGCAGGGCGTGTCTTTTTGGGGCTTGGGTCGCCTCCCCTAGAATTGCTGAAGGCAATATTTTTAGAGAGCCCATGTGATTATGAAGCATTCTATGATTTGTCACTTTGTTTGTCACTTGCGACCTCTGACATTCAACTTAACCATGTCCTACTTTCAGAGTACCCTTCTTATTAGGAACCTTCCCCTTTGTTTGCCGTTGTGTTTGTCACTTGTGACCTTTAAAACCCAAATGAACCATGCCATATTTCATCATCTCCTGATGATAAGCCATTGGTGTATGCTTTCTATTGCAACCTACTGCCACTAAATTCAACTTCAGTGGCCGCTATGATAGCAAACGCCCACTTAACAATACACAAACTACTTCTTTGGATCCTGATGGATAAGGCTCTACATGAGTTGCCTGTAGATTCTATTTAGATCTAGATCTAGATCTAGATCTAGATCTAGATCCAGAAATTAGGTGGCAGCTCTGAAAAGATTCAAGTTAGATGCAAATTCTGAAATAGCCCACCTATTGTTCTAACTTCATTCAATTTTTTTAGTCTATATTACATTTGTCACCAATATTGGTGTCTAAGAATGCTGGTTTGGCTGGAACGGGAGAATTCTTGGTGGAAATGCTCCAAGAACCAAATTCACTTGAGGTGGACTTGAAGAGATTTTTGGCTACATCAGGAATGTTTGCCAAATTGATCATCAAACTTATGTGAGTGCGGCGGAAACATTTCTACCTCAAGATACCCTATACCAATGTATCAACCTTGCCAAGTACATCAAAGAGCAAGAAATATTAGTTTAAATAAAGCAATTCAAAGCAATTCAAAGCAATTTGGTCAACAATTTGGCCAGATCACTCCAGATCATGCTTTGGGGCAACAAACTTACATGTGATTCAAACTTCCCATTTGCTTAGGCGCCTTGATCTAGGATAGGCCGAATCTATTGATAGGTCCAGTAATCCTTTGTCCATTAGAGGCAGTAAAAGGGACTGGCAGGTTGTTGTTTGGGTTTCTGTCTCCATGGTGCCAGGAGGACCCGCCAAAACGGAGCAAACTCATAATATTACCAAACCAACTCATCATATTGGTCAAAATTTATATGCCAATGGTCGAATTCTTCTTCCGCTAACGACGCACTTGCTCAAAATATATGCAGAGATGAGATTGGTGTATTGTCGGTTTTTTTTGTGGCTTTCTGGGTCCACCAAGGCCAGTTTCCCAAGAGCAACAGATTCTGATGATAGGGCTTGAGTTTGAATTTGGCACCGGATAACGCCATTAGGCACCATCTTCCTGCATCTAGGGACGTCTTCACATACAAAGTTGATGATGTATGTGCGCCCTAGACGGTGTCTATGAACTTCTTACCGACAAAGTCATCATTAGACCAACACACAGTTTTCGTTACCATCGTCATCAGTAGAAATTTTTCGTTGTGCCCCATGTATTGTTGTTTGGCTTCCATATTGCCAGTTGGTGCGATGGGAACAGTTGGGTGTTGCGCCAGTCCATTGTTGCGCAAACTGTAGTTGATTGTCATGTTTGTGTTGTTTCTGTTTTTATTTCGGCTGTGTGGATTGAGATTCGGGATCTGCCATACATTTGGACTAGAATCCCATCAAAAAGGTTCTCCGGATTGGGATTTTAGGATCTGCCATATATTTGCACCTGAAGCCTAGACTCTCCGTCCAAATGTACCACGATCCTGCACGTAGAATTCTACACAGTCAGAAGTGATCAAAACGTTTCTCCGATGAGCCCAGGACAGAACCAAAAACAACATTGAGAAAAGAAACTGCAAGTAGATGACATCACTGGTGAAGAATCTGACAGCAATGCAACTGAATAGAGTACAATTGGCAAAATGAGGTAAGCTCATCAAAGAGCAAATTCTCACAGTACTATGATGCCGTTTGATGATTGCATGACATCAACAAGAACAGGAGATCTTGCATTTTCATATCCTTTTTCCTGCAGGCGGCGCCTTTGCCAATTTTTCTTTGCTGGTTCTGGTAATCGTGATATTACATATGGCAGACATTGTGCATTTAAGCCACAAAATTGGGATTCGTTTTTTGAGACATGTCTCTCAATCAGGATCCCATTAAGAGTTACAAGTTTGTTAGTGTAGCTCCCTGCAAATCTACCAGGATCCTACTCAGTAGAAATAACGTAGATTGGACAAGTCCATAATAGTTTTGAGTCATTATGTTAAGTAAGCAATATGTTAAGTAAGGCTGTTTGTAATAGCAGGGCAAAAATCGCGCCAGGATGGATTCAAGCCCTCCCTATGGTACATTTCTACAGAAAATACGTAGAATCACACCTTCCTCCACCCTCCTCCAACGTAGTTACTACTAGTGCCAAGTTAATTTCCACTGAATCCAGCTTCGTCAAGACAAAGATTTCCCAGCGCACACATAAAATAAAAAAACTTGAGTATTTGAAAACAAGACAAGGAGCAAGAAGGCACCAAGCAAGGGGAAGGGCAATGAGACCAAGAAGAAGGCAGCTTCAAACCCAGCAACACTAGCAAAGCCTCCACCCAAACAACCCGTGAGTTTTTTGTACTACTGGTATCAGAACGTCATTGTTGAACATTGGAGAAACAGCAGCATTTTTTGTTTATTTGCCAACAAATGAAGGGGAGTCTCGTATACAGGAAAAGGTATACGGCAATGATTCAAGGGCGAGCAGTGAGGAGGACCTTGAATACAAAGAGGGTGAGTATTCATGTTTTGTGCTACTGTTGTGTGACAAAAGCCTTGATCTCACCTGCTTCTTTTGTCACTAAATATTATGGTGATGCAAGATGTCAATTTGGGTTGAGTATGCTTTGTTTATTTGCCAACAAATGAAGGGGAGTGTCGGAGACAGGAAAAGGTGTATGACAATAGTTCAAGTGTGAGCAGTGATGAGGACCGTGAACACAAAGAGGGTACGTATTCATGTTTTGGCGCTACTGTTGTGTGACAAAAGCCTTGATCTCACCTGCTTCTTTTGTCACTAAATACTGTGGTGATGCAAGCTGTCAATGTGGGTTGAGCAATGCTTTCAATGTCACAGATGAAGCATTTGCACTTTTGATGGTGGAGAACTATGTGGACAGATGGAAGGCACTGGCCAAAGAATGGCCGAGCAGTGGCAACACTAACTGAACCACAAACGCTCTGAATAAAAGTGCAAGAAGGCAAGGCAACAAATTGTAACAGTATATGAGGATTCCTGAAAAGTAGATAGAACAAGTATTGTTTAGTTGATAGTAATATATAGTAATTGTGATATTTCAATTGTTGTAGTGATCACATTAACACTTTGGGCATGTGACAATAGATGATGCTGGCAATGCAAAAATGACAGGGTGAAGGTGGTATTGAGACTTTCAGTGCATGGTTGATAGTGGCTAGACCCTGTCCCAAAATGACAAGTAGTAGGTGGCTGCAATAAAATCACATGGCCACGTGACATAAGCAGACGGAGCCATGTCCTAATGTGACATGAGCAAGCCAACCAATAGGACCAGACTTTCTTTTCCGATGTATCTTTAAAAAAAAATATTTTGCATTATCTTGCTGGCTATGCACAGCAATCAACGAATGGAAGTAATACCTGTATCCCTACCATATAGATGAAAGTTTTCCATTTTAGTCAGGACCGTGTGGCAAATTCGGGCATTTAGCAAAACAAAAACCGCCAAAGCCGACTATAGGTTGTGAAACGCGCGCTAATTAATGATGACACGGTAAAACTGAAAACTGTATTCACGCGGGGATATCCTGGAACTCACGGGGAAAAAAAGGGAACTTTTAGGGAACTTTCAGGGAATTTTTTGGGAACTTTCAGGGAACTTATAGGTAATTGGAGATTCATTGAGACTCCCCAAATACTATCCCTGCTTTCCCATCTCGCAAAGAAATTGTTACTTTTCTAATTGTGAATTATTATGATGCCATTGGCATCGGTTTTGGACAATCCAATGCTATCAACAAGGGCACTCTTCACTGTCGATAGCCTACAATGAATACTTGAGTGACTGATAATGCTGGACAATAGTAGTTGAAGGATTGGAGAACCAGCGATGTGAAAAAAGAGCCCAAGAAACCTATCAAGGACAGTGCTGGAGAGACATCACCAAAAACATGGACCCAAACCATGTCTACTAGCAGATGGGCAATGGCATACATTTGGCCAAGAAGTCTTGTTCAGAACAAGGTCTTTGTCTTTGTTCACTGGATGGTCACATCTATTAGTCAAGGAACCAACAGCCCCAAAGTTCTCGACTTCAAGATTTGGGCTAGAACTCAGCGGCAGGAGAAATTCAACGAGAGATTGAAACGTTTTGACACTATTGGAACTCGTGTTTGTTATACTATGGACAAGCATGAAGTCGTTTGCACTGACTTTCTTGTTTTGATTCAATACGATATTGAGGATGGCCGTCCTTTGAATAGAGTCATCTACTATAGTAAGTTTGTCTTTTGAGGGAATATTGTTTCGCAAAAGTTCCCTGAAAGTGCCCTAAAAGTTCCCTGAAAGCTCCCTAAAAGTTCCCTAAAAATTCCCTAAAAATTCCCTAAAAATTCCCAAGTACCCGGGAAATTCCCTAAAGTAAGAAGTGCAGAAGAAGTAAGAGTGGAACAAATTGTGCACCAATCATGGTGAAGCACAATTGTTCTTCCAAAGCATGTGGACCCCACCAGAATGCTCGCAGATTTGTGGCTGGCACGCAATCAAAGTGTTCCCGTTTGAATGTTGGGACAAAAAGTGTGAAGCAAATCTTTGTCAAGCCTTGTGATAAGGAACATTGGCTGTTAGATTTGAATCAAAATGTCTTTTGCATGGAAGTCGATTGGGCCAGTGGCGTTGCCCCAAAGTGTTCACCTCCAGAACATGCCAAAAATATTAAGATTGCTTTTGGGAAAGCAAAAGGAAGCCTTAAAGTATTGGATCCTGACCATGAAACTAATTCCATTGCCGTGTTTGGAAAACCCAATGGCAATCAAGGGCTCACGGACTTTCTGTTTTACAAGGCTTCTGACCGACAGAGAGGCGAACTAAAGGAGCAATGGAAGGATGTTCGAAATCTGATGCCCGAAGCTATGAAACAGAAGCCTGATGTTGCACGGGGCAAACAATCAGCTGCTTCGTACCAGCGGTACATCTGTTTTGGTTATCGTAAGGATCCAAAAGGATCAGACATTGGAGAATATGCATACCAAAAGCATGGAAAAAAAGACAATCAGTCTGGTTACAGGGGGATTTCTGATAAGTTTCGGCAATTGAGTGAAAGCCTAGAGGGAATATCTAATCGATTTGGGAAGCATTTGTTTGAAGCTAAGTGGATGGATGATCTGCGACAGAGAGTGTTGTTGCCATCGTTTGCTGGCGGTAAAGCCAAAGCAACACAGTTTTCTGTTGGCATTGGATATTGGTCAGTCGCACACACTGATGATGATTATTACTTTACAACCTTGTCATGTCTATCCAAGAATGAAGCTGATCATGATAAAGTGTTGTACTATTTTATTTTTCCCTTTTACAAGGTGGCAGTGCCAATGAAATCGGGAGACATTATATTCTTCAACCCATTGGAGCTGCACTGTTGTTCTAATCCAAGCTTACCAGATGCTTCTGCCAAGACTTTCAATGCTCGATTTGCTTCATATGCAAAAAGTAGTTAAAAGGTAATTGTAGTTGTAATATTGTTTGTTTCAGTGTTGTGCAGTTTCAAGTTGTTCAATTCTGTCTGCCACCTGGAGAAGGAACCAATGGTCAGAGAAGAAAGAAGACCTGGCTCACTTTCATGACCGGGCTTGCTCTGCTTTGAGCAGCCACAAAAAACAAAAAACAAAAAACAACACATCACAGCTACTTCTTCTAGCTATCCTGTTGCTCTCAGCATTATTCAATTCCGCAACAACAGTTTTGTACAAACACCATCCAGTAGCAACATTTCCATTCTCCTCAGGGACTGGTTCCTCCATTCACTTCCGCACAGTTTGGCTTTTTACACATCTGCTTCTCATACTTTCATCGAGCAAAGTGACAAACATTGTGTAGCTACAAAAGCTGGACCGTGAAGTACCAATTCTTTGCCTTATGCTAGGATGGAGCCTTGCTGCGGTGAAGTTCATAAATGGCAGGATCATCTTCAGGTGGGAAATCTGATGCTGGGAGGGATGTCCACGTAACAAAAAGGAAACAAGCTGAAGTAAATGAAAGTGATATTCGACCGTTCCAATGTCAAGAACATCTTGGAGATGCTGGTAAGTTGACCAATATGGCAGAATAGTAGCCAGACAAAAATCCATTACAAGAATCTCTTCAAACATTGTTCTTACAGCAGCAAAATCACCAGATAACGATATGCTATTGGCAACGTCAGATGTTAGTAAAAACGGAAAGGTCTCTACAACACTTACAGCAGCAAAAGTACCTGTATCATCACAAGAAGAAGATGACTTGGCGGTGGTTGTGGCAAAGTGCTGGAACGACTTTTTATCAGCAGAGTTCAGTCTTGGTATAACATATTCTGGACTGCCTTTGTCTTTAAACTATGGCAAATATCAAGAGCTGCTATCTGGGCAAGGAAACTTTGTACCCAAAGTAAACAAAGCTTTGTTTGTAATGTTTCCTGAGGATTACAAGAACAAATGCGCCAAAGATCTGTTGATCCCTGTATCAAATGCGGAAGACTACCCATGCCCAATTGTGATCCAAGTTTGGCTACTAACACCACCATTCTTGATTTACCGGCTGAATTGGTTGAAGATGAAGAGTATATAGAGGGTGATGCAGCAGTTTTGTATTATCAAGGAATACAAGAGAACGCAGAATCATTTGACAAGCACCATGTGGTCTTTGACATTCAGATCTTGGTGAAGAGCTTGATTGGATATACTGGACAGGAAACAAAGAGTTGAAAGCAGTTGGGGGCAAGAAAGGTGTTGAGGGGCTTGGCAAGATTTTGCATAGAATAAAAGCAATCGAAAAGTCAGGGAAGGGAGCAGCAATTGATTTTTTCAAAGACAAGAAAGCTAAGGATACAAGTAAGAAAGTTTGTCTTGCTGAAGATTTGCATCATTTTTGGAAACCAAAGGAGAACAAGAGGAAGAGAGTGAACAACATTGGACTCTCTGCAGAACAAAAGCAGCAAATCAAGAATGAAGAGCTCAACACCATTTGTTACCATGAACAGCCTAATCAACATATGGAAATTTTTGAAGAGCGTCTGATGCAGTTGGAGCTACTGCTACAAGCCAAAAAACCAAACGAGAACAATTCAAAAATTATTTCTTGTGTCAACAAGGCTACACAAGATTACCAAAAAGAGATAAAGAAACAGTATTGCAATGTTGATCAAGGCACCCTGGAGTTTTGACAAAGTACAAAATCAAAGCACCAAAGCAGAACCAATATATAGCCATGACGAAATTCAAAAGATCCGATATGAGCCCATTACCACAAACGAAGCAAAATCAAGCTTTACCATCTATTGCGGACCACAAGAAACAGCTGTTGCAAAAACTACAGTTGCTTACGTGGCCTACTATCTTGGAAGTGGGTTTGCTGCAAAGTGCCTTGCATTTGGAAAAAGATGTGCAGACAGCAATCTGAATCAGCCTTCCAGCAATTTTGACACTGCTCCAGACTCTTGCCTATGTAAATTGGACAAGAATGGTGCAAGGGTCAAGATTTTACGGTTTGTGCAAGGCGCTAGTAATTGTTGCTTGGGGTTTTTGTTTGCAAATGCTTTGCATCATCTGTACTTTCATGAAGAGGCAGATTCTCTTTATCGATGGTCCCATGAGTTGAGCGAGCACAATGCAACTGTCCAATTTAAGAAGCTTTCCCGTTGGGTGCAGACGTCGGTTAAAGGAGTGACCTGTTTGTCTCTTTTAGAGTCAAGGAAATTTGACAGTCTGGATGGATTGTTGCAATGCATCAGTCTTCTTAGAGAACAAGACCTAGTCGTGTTTGTACCACAGGCAAACGATGGGACAAAGACCCATGCTGTTACATTCTGTTGTGGATTAATATTTGATTCCACACAACAGTATCCATTGAGGCTGTCTGAAGAGTCCCTTAAATTTATTGCTGGTTTTGCTGGTTTTGCTGGCATTTGGCGTGCACGGCTGTTTAGCTTTGGCAAGTAGAAGCAAACGTAGGAGAACAGCTATCTATATGTACTGGTGAGTTATGTAGTACTACTATTTTTGTTGTTGTTGTGCAAATTGCAGAAATGATTTGGTTTGGTTCCAAACATCCTTTTTCCAGTTCAAGCGATTTGTAGTAAAGCCACTGAAGAAGGCCTTTATGCTTTTGGCTGGTTTCAATCCTGTTGCGTATGTGAGCGTTTCCCACTGGAACCGTTTGCTTGATCGATTGTGCAGTAATAGACTCAAGTGTCCTGACTCTTTTACTCTGCTGTTCCCCACATATATGCATGCATAAGTAAAGTTTGAAAGCTTGTGCAGCCGCTCTGAGATTGCAATTATTACTTGATCTAGAGTCTGGCCCTGTGCTTTATCAATGGTGAGCGCAAAGCCAGCTGTAACCGGAAATGTAGGTTTGAAAGTAACTCGTGATTGGCCCAACAATAGATTAGGTGACTTGATGAACATTTGACGGTCTCTGCTGTTACAACATCCCGGACAAATGGGCACTACAACTTTTGCTCCTTTTCCGTTTCCTTCTGGATAGGTTTCAAGGGATCCCAGTTTGTTGCCCCAATGATTCCACTATCATTTATTTTGATGTTAATTCCAAGGGGCGGATCACTCAAAGTTATCTGTACTTGGTGCTGGTAAACTGACAGTTGTACGTCATCAAGAATAAGGGATTGATATTCCGCTCTTGTTCCATTGCAAAGTTTTCTTTCCTTTGAAATTGTATCGGTTAAGTAACATGGCCCCTCAGGAACAAAAAAATCCCAAAAAGCAGAATCGAGATCGATCATTTCAGCAACATCTGATTCGTTTTTGGGCCTACCCTCCCACTTTTTGTATTGGAACGGCCAGCTAAAACAATGTTTCTTGCCTTGGCAAATTGAACTGCTCTGGAGTAGTTGATGGTACACCGCTCCCTGTTAGTCTTCACTATGACTGGAGCTTTTAACCACCTTTGCTGCTCATCAAAAGTATCTGCTTTGAGGGTTTTGTCATTGTAAAGTTTGTACATGTGGAATATGTCAGGCTCGATTGGATTGCCATTGTAAAGGCTGTCAATGTTGTTGTTGTGGTTTGTGTCTTTGCTTCTTTCAGCTTCAGTGAGTTCAAACCAGCGAGAAGCTGCAAGTATGTTGCATCCCAAGTTATTGTTGGAAACAACATTGTGGCAACTCGCATCAAGGAGAGAAGGCGTTGTGGTCTCAATTGACAATTTTTGTTTCTTCTTCATTCTGTGCTCTGAATTTGTTGTATGTTTGGAATGCCCAATTTTGTTCTTCACCTTCTTTATCAGACTTGTTGTTGCCAGTATGCCACCAATTTTGTTCTTCACCTTCTTTATCAGACTTGTTGTTGCCAGTATGCCACCAACTGGTTCCTTTTGATTAAAATCCCCTACTAAAAGGACCGGTATACCTCCAAAAAACTGATCCGGATCTTGTAGCACTTTGCTAAGCAGCCTGGAGAGTTTGCCCAATTTTGAAGCTGTCATGATGGACACCTCATCGATTATTATTAGTCGTAGATCCTGCAAATTTTGTTTTTCCAATCCGATGACAGCTGCTGGGCTTATCTTTTGTTGCACTATCTGCAATTTGTCTTTTTGCCTCTTTTGAATTCTTTGTTTCAGCAAACTTGCGATTGTAGAACCATCGATGTCAGCGGCGTTCAAATTATTTGATGCCATAGTCCAAACTCTTGAAGTTTGTTTTGTGGTGTTACCAAGCATAAGTAGGCGGTGAATCACAAAGCTTTTTCCTGTCCCGCCTTTACCTGTTAGAAGCACAACAGCAGGCGGCTGAACCACACTTTGATCCTCAGGGTATTGCAAATATTTTCTGTAGGTCTCAATGATCTGTGCCTGACCGTCATTCAGTTAGCATCGGCATTGTTGACACAACGCCATGGCGACAGTTCACCAGTCTGTACTTTGTTTTCTCCAAGGGAAATATTGTCGTCATCATCCCACAGAGAACTTTTGCCATCTTGCTTGTCGTATAATAGAGACGCCCTTTGTTTCCATTGAATTGTCATTGCTCCAACAGCGTCATACTTTTGGATGGTTCTGTCAGGTGTATGCGGAAATGTAAAGGTGCTTACGGATTGTGAGAATGATTCAGCGTCTGCGTTCATGTTCAATCCAGTTGTTGTTGATCTGGAGTCTAGTATATTGTACTTTGCCTGGAAGAAATCCTCATCAAGTAGAAGAGAATCCTCTTGACATTCGTAAAATTTTAAAAGCTGATCTGTTCTCCTGTGCCTTTCCTGCTCGTACGACGACCACTTGTCAGCGTCTCTTGCACGATAGGCTGACAATATCTCTTTTGTTTGAAAATCTGAAGCCAGAGTATTCATCCTTCTATCCACAGCCATTAAGCAAAATTTTGAAACAGTGCTGTCATTGTGCTGTGATGTATTTATCCACGCCACTAGATCACCCCAGCCATAACTCTGTGATAGCGCTTTTTTTGTTTCCAATCCGTTATATATCTCACATGGTCAAAACATAGTCAGTATGTAGTTGGCATGTTGATCAGCTCTTGTTTGCCAGCTAGAATGTGTTGGATGATTTACTGTGGCTCTTTTCCTGGGTGTTTGGGCACTTTTCCTTTGAAGATTAGTGTACGCTGCTTGCGGCATAGGGTCTGTCCAAATCTTGCTCTCAGTTCAAAAGCTCCTTCAAACTTAAACCATGTTGACTTTGCGCTGCTGCTTTCTTTCTTGGGAAGTTCCTTCACCTGAATAAACGCATCATACTCATCTAAGTTAAGGTGCTCCAAATCTTTACCCCTGTGAAAGTACATTGCCACAACTGGAACAGCCATTTTGATATTATCTTCACCATCTTCTCCTTTTTCTACAATAAATGTCTTTATGTATCCCAAATAAGCATTATCCTCAGACTTGTTGTCATTTTTAGCATTGTTGCCATCGCTTTCAATTCCAGTATTTGTTTGCTCCATTTTTTTTTAAATCAGGATATTTCAATAATTGATTGCACCCCAAGGTTCACTGTATTGAAACACTTCTGAAGTGATTATGGATGGAATTTGAAGTAAATACACAACCGTTTGATAGTCTGACAACTCGGTGTATTGCTGTTTTCAGGTTGATTCTGTTTTGTCGGTATAAGCAAAACACAATTAGTTCCATTGGAAACACCTGATTTCTTGGCAAGTCGGCATCTTTCTCTACCATGAAATCCTTTATGACAAGTTCTGTGATGCACATGGTATTCACTATTTGCTCTCTTGTCACAAGATATATTTTCCATCTTTTGCATGGTTGAGCCATTTGATGATAGATCATCCATGGTTGCAATAGGGTTGGTTTGCTGCAAAAGAGCTGGTGAACTCATTGGTTCTGCCAACTGTCTCAACGCAGTAGATTTTCTCAACGTTCTAGTCAAGACATTCTGGAAATTTGTTCCGGTACTGAACTTTGCCTTGTAAAAAGAGTCCAAGGCTTTTTGCAGATTGCAGACACTTGACATAGTTCTTGGAGCACATATGACATTTGATCCATAGAAGATGATGTGAAAATGCAGTGTTCCCTTCATGTGATCTTCCACCACTCCAGCTAGGCCAAGACCATGACCAAATATACCTTTGCAATTTTTAGTATTCCAATAATGACTCTTTCGTGTTGACCGCCCATCGTAGGCGCCAAAAAATCCTTCTGGTGGACAACCAACGAGAATTGAAAGGACATGATGAAGAATTGCTTTTGTTTCACAGACATATGCAGCGGGGTTCTCGGTTGCTAGTTTTGATAGGTATGCTCCCTCAAATCGCATCCCCTCGCCTTCATTGAAGTTGATGTTGCCTTGCCCTCTGTCAACTGCATGTTCTTTGATGGCTTTGACAAAATCATCAAGGGAGGCATACTCACTTTCAGAACAAAAAGCCGCAGGAAATTTTGTATTGTCCATTGTTTTAATTGCAGCTCTAATTCCCCGCGTATTAAACATGTCATCAAGTGATAGCGTCAAGAATGTGCATCCAGCACCATATCGCTTTGCAGTTTCAAGTGTCTGACTGATGCATTTACTTGTTTCCAAAGCTCCATAAGCAATGTCCCCTCCAACTAAAGTCAATGTCGATTTCAGCCGTTTCCATACTTTCTTCGCTGACGGACTATCAGGATCATCTTGCAACGTTTTTAAGATCTCTTGATGGTCGTTCCTATCCATGAATTCATTCACTCTTGATATTGCATCGCTGTTGCCGCTCAGTTTGAGGCTTGCACTTTTTATGACTGCAAATTGTCTTTTGACATCAGCTAGGTATCCCAACATTCGTCTGTCCTGACCATGAATCATACTGAATTGTTTCAGTAAATGGTTCAACTCCTCGCCATTGAGGTTACCAGCACGTCTTCCATAAGCTTTCCCTATGGGAAACAGCCGTGGAAAGGTACATGCCAGCATCTTGTCATCTGGCAAGAACTCATTGATTGGGTCTTGGCATCGATGCGATATGACAAAAGAGTTGTTATGCCTGTTTCCTCCTTCTGATTCCTGTTCTCCAAACCATCCGCGTACAGCATCGTCTGACTCCATTTGATGCTGGCTCACAATCCCGCTTTCATCAACACCTTTCATCATGTTTTGAATAGCATCATTCTCAACTTGATTGCGCATTTTCTTTGTTCGTAGCAGGGTATCTGGTGATGGACTGGCATAATGCGTCCTAAGAGGGAGGTCATTGCTACTTGAATAGCTGGTGCTTTCAATATATGATGTCGATGCTCCTCCGAAGTAACCATGGTAATTATCCGACTTGGAATCCACCTGATGAACACCAGCAACATCAGAGCCAAGACGTTTTTCATGCAGAAGGCTCTGCTTGTCACTGATGAATATTGCATTGTCCTTCTTCTCCCTGACACTCTGCTCAACTTTTTCAACCAAGTTATCAATTGTATCCTGTCTGATATGGCTATAGTATGGACTCAACCAGCCAAGGACTGCAAACCACTGTTGCAGTACGCTGCTACGAGCGTATAGTTTGGATGTTCTGTAAGCTTTCCAAGCCAACGCATCATCTCTGCCTTTCTCGTTGTAGAAGTGAACATTCATAATATCATCAAGTTCCTCCTTAGAAACCAAAACATGATTCACCTTCTCAACAGAATGATGAGAGAAAAGAATTCCCTCCCATGGAGTTCCTGCCAGGTGTTTGTTGAAAGCCTTGTCCATTTGGGAATATTTTAATCGTTGCAGAATATAACCTATTTTTTGATACAATCAACTGCTCATGTAAGTTCAATGCTGTCAAACCTTCAAGCCTGTTGTAGTGGCCAAAATCTATTCCTTTCCCATTGAGTACTTGTAGCATGTACTTTTTTGCAAAGCCGCATTGTGGACAAAATGCGCTGATACAAGTTCTGGGTGCAAATGGTATGTTCAATCCTGCGGTTCAGATTTATAATGTGACACAACTTTCCATGGGTCAACAGATATTGTTCCAATACCAGTCTTGTCAGGAATTTCCAATGCACCTGCCTGCTTTAGTTGGTTCAAATTACTTAACGGTCCGTCCGCCGCTCAAGAAGCCCATTTCATACTATTTTGGCGGGAGACCCATCTTCTAAAATCACCCACAGACCTAAAATAGATTTTTTCTCCATACAAAAGTCTTAGCTTAGGTCCATATCTTGCATCATATTGGGTGGGGCTGTCATCATTATGCTCAGGGAAGGCACTGTAGCTCTAAAAGTTGCCACTAGGACTGTTGTGGATTGAAATTGAAAATTTACAACTTACAAAATGTGCCTGAAATTCATGAAAGAATGCTACAATCCAGCTACTAATCGGAACTCAGATTGCCCATGAGTGATTTCAGGTCACACTGTACTCATAAGGCACCAAAACAACCAATGATCTGAATTGCTGTCCAAAGCATCAATTACCTTCTTGACTGCAGTGAATGTCTAGAGCACAATCATGATGACCCCACCCAATAGGATGTAAGATAAGGACCTAAGCTAAGACTTTTGTATGGAGAAAATTTTTATTTTAGGTCTGTGGGTGATTTTAGAACCTGGGTCTTCCGCCATAATAGGGTCTGACGAGTGGCGGACGTACCGTTAATTGAGTTTGCGTATATTTGTAGATTTCTGGTAACAAAGACAACAACACTTTTGTATATTGGATGGACGCGCACTGCCGTTCTCGGATTCATACTGCCTAATTCCGCACGCTCCACAAGCAAGCAACCGACTCTGGAAGTTGTAAGCCTTGTAATATGATTTCACTATTTCTTTCAGTTGCTCGTCCGATAAGATTTCGTCTTCCACTTCTTTTGCAATTTTGTTTGTGTTGATTGCCAGCCCAGAATGCGATGCAGAATAAGAATAGTGCTCGTCAAATCTTGTATAGCCGCTGTTTGAGTAGTACAATATGATGGCATGCTGAAAAATGGTGCTTGACTTGCAGCATTTGGGATTGGCCTTCCATTCTCTTTCCAGCCTTCTTAACTTGTCAAACCCTAATCTCATAAATCCAATTGGCAATGCCTCATCATCTTCTATTCCTTCTTCTTCTTGGCGTCGTCGTCTCAAAGCTCTATGAACTTGGCAAGAGCTTGTATTTGTCTGTGTACGGCTCATCCTATTGTATTCAGATGTCCTGGAACCTCTTGCTTTCTTTCTTCTTGCATTTTTTTGGTGCCTCGTTGCAACCATGGTAGTGATGTGTGATGGCAAAAGGAAGTTCCTTTACAGCATTGTTCTCAGTGGTTTTGCTTGATGCGGTTGTTTGGGCCTTTTGTCATTTAAGCTGACCAACCATCCTTGGTCTTGACAGATGGCATTCTAAACGTATAAGTAAACAGTTTTTCCAAAGCAGATTCCCTGAAGTTTCTGTGCGCACCACATCTGCTAAATCCTACTTACGGTACTGACTACTTGTTTGCAGTGAAAATGTTTCTTCCAACAGAAGGCCTTCGGCAATGCACTGTATCCAAACAGTAATATGTTCAAACATTGCAGTTAGGTCTCCCAAAACGGCCACTATGGAGCAAAGATACCTCACATTGTACATCACTTCACTTCCAACCGAATGTCAAGCTCTATGTGTCCTCGCAAAGCTATTCCTGCAAACTCTACAAGCGGGGAGTTGAAAAATTTCACTGCACATACACAGCAAGCCAACTCTTTCTACTTAGGCAGTTGCGCATTCTGGTTTACTCCAACTGCTTTTGCTGTTATGTGCGACATCAAATTTTGATCCATCCAAAATTTGAAAGTCCTGGTTGGTGCAATTTCTGGTTCTTTGATTTCCAAACGTTCTCACAAATCAAACATTTGGGCAGAACAAAAATCTCAGCAGCAGAGCAAAAAGCAACATGACGCCAAAAAAAACCCTCCTGAATTGGCATCCACTGCCGCCACCGCCAAGAAGCAGCGCCTAGCTGCATCAAAAAGTATGAATTCTACCAGAGATGCTGTTGCTCACTCAACTAACAGAAAAGATGCCCCAATTGTTGTCACTCCAGTCAAAGGCAAACAAAATAAGGTCTCCGCCAAACCTACCAAAGCCGACGGCTGAAAATATGGGCATGACATTCCTTGACACGCTTCGTTCAACCTGCGGCTGGTAATGCTTCTGCTGCTGCGGCTGCTGCTGGTGATGATGATGATCATACTGGTGCTGGTGATGTGGACGGTGATGTGGACGATGGGTTTCTGCATTATGATCCAGATCCCAATGCCACCACTGTTGCAATCTCCTTATGGGAAAGGAGACGAGCAAACACAGGAGCCGGGGTTTCCCGTGCCGAAGACATGAAACTGCTTGGACACAAGAACGAGTCCCTTCCAATGGTGACTGTGAAAATGAACAATGAGGACAAGCTAGTTGCTCCCAATCGCATCTTGACTGCCAGAATTCAACCCCACATTACAATCATCATGTTCTACCTACCAAAGAACGACGATCGTTTGCCTCCCATCCATTATGTCTTGCAAGCTCTTCAGGATCACCCAGGGGCGTGGGAGCATTTCTGCAGAGACTGCAATGTGCGCATGGTGGCTAAACTACGCGACGAGAACAATCCGATGAAGCCACAGAATTGCAACCGAACAGGAGGCCTAGCAACAAGAGAATGGCCGTGCCTAGTGGGATTCCGTACAAAACAGTGGACTGCCCAGATTCTTGAAACCTGGGCCAAAAAGGTTGCACACAAGCTCCAATCTGTTGCACATATCAAAT